GAAGTTGTAGCAAACAAAGAAGTCCAGGCCTCGAAAGCGTCGGGGCGTCTGTCACAAGCCGGCCAGTTGCCAAATCCGGATCGGTGTGTCCGGCTATGACTAATCTGGACTTGCAGCGCCACTCGGCTTGCCCTTCCAGTCTCCTTCTCGACCAGTTTTTATCTTTATAAGCCCATCGAGAGCGCAACACGCGCTCTCCAGCCACATGCTTCTTCACGTACTCTGTCTCTGCATCGTTAAGAGGCTCGAGGGCGTCGTAGTGCAAATGCTCGCTCCATTGCTTGCACTCTGCATCCCTAAACTTCTGCTGGAACTGCTCCGGTATCTCGTCCCATCGCAGCTCCTTCTCTTGCCTCTTCTCCAGGCCTCTCTTGGTGAGGTGCTTCCTCATGAGCATCGCACTATAGGCCATGAAGGTGTCGTTCTCCTTCCACTCCACGTCCTCAGGCGGTGTCTTGTGCTTCATGCGCGACGTGGGCCAACCTCGCTTGGTCGGCTCTCGGTCTCGACCTGTCTCATCATCCTGGTCGGGCAGGAGCTCCAGGATTTCGTCCCCCTCGTCGTCGACTGCGCAGGGCTCGTTGTCTTGTCCACTGCGGCCGTCTTCCTCGATGTCCTCGACCTCGGCGCCGTCTTCGTGGTTTTCTGAAGGGGAGTAGAGGGTGCCAATGTCGTCCTCGACGTCATTGCCCTCCTCATCGTCGCTGGCGTAGGTGTCGTTCTTGTCGAAGTCTTGATTAAGGAGCTGGTCCAGCTCCCTCTTCACCTGACCCATCGCGAGGAATTCGCCAGTTTCGTCAGGTCCGGATGGGCGGAGATGGAGATGTTCTGGCGCAGTCAGTCTGCAGCGGCCTCCTCGGGAGACCCAGTAGTTGTTTCCTTCGCGGCCCACCACGATGGCTGGCCCCTCCCATCGTCCCTGCCGCCTGTTTTTTGGCAGATTCCAATAATGCACTTGCTCGCCGTTCTCAAAGGGACGCGTGGTTGCACGAGCTCGCTGGAGGAGAGCTTTACGCAGTTTGCCATCATTTTCTGATTTATGAAAAGCTATACGAGCGCTCGCTCGTATAGCCATCTGCCTCTGAAACCTGGCATCGTCGGAGATGTCAAAGGTGACTCTTCCCCCACTATCGGGATCAAGGACTTGCTCTACTCCACGGGCTTCACGACCAAATATCCACGCAGACGGGGAGTGGCCACAGCGCCTCCTCAAGCTGTTTTTCGCGCAGCACACCGAAGTAGCAGCCAGCTGCGCCTCATCAGCCGTGATCGAGAGCTCCCGGCACACGCGGATCCATATATTCTTGAACCACTTGCCTTGTCGTTCGCCCACCCCCGATTGGAAGTGAGCTTGTGTCGCTGAGTTGCGAATTTTCACATTGTGCCAGCTGCACAACCTCGAAAAGCCGTCTTGCAAGCCTGTCTCGAGATCCAGAGAGATGGCGTTCGGCGCGCCGAAGGGAGCGAGCCAGTAGGTGTTGAAGGCCTGCTCAATTTCCTTTCCTCCGGTGTTGCGCAGCTTGACAACCACATGGTAAGTCGTGCCAACGTCCACCAGTGAAAGAAAAGTGTGGCGCTTGTCCTCGCAGTCGTGGGCGTACAGGATGTCCGCGCACACCATCTCGCCAAAACTCAGCATCCTTGGCAAGGTGGTGGGTCGCGCCACCTGTGGCTCTTTAGTTGCCTCGCAAACTTGGGCACCTCATCCACTTTGCTGCTTTTATGACAGAAGACTCACACCCAGCGAGGCGAAGATGCCGTACAAGATCAGGTCCCCTCGGATGTCCGAGGTTTTGGTGAAGCCTCTTCAAGGCGGCCCTCACATGTCCGGGGACGCCCTTGTCGAAGGTTATGCCGGAGCCGTCTACTCTGAGCGGCTTCTCCTCAATCTTTACCTCCTCTTCGCTCATCACAAGGACGTGGTGCGGGTTGAGGTTGCAAGGCGTTTCCAGGTTCTTGGCGCCAGGCCTCGCCAGGACAGTCCACTCTTCTCCCTCGTGGTTGTTCTTGTACCGCACATAGTGGTCGACGTCCTCGACCACGCGTCGGGGTTCTCCTCCTTGAAGTAGCACGGCTCCACCTCCATGAAGTTGTTCTCTAACAAGCTCCTTGAGGTCGCTGTAGGCTTCCTCTGGGGCGTGCCGGAGGTGGAGGTGAAGCTGCCTGGGAGTCACGGCTTTCACCAGGTATAACGCCCGCTCCTTGATGCTGGAGTCGCCATAGTCTTCCCATGAAAGAGGCTCCAGGACAGCCTTGTTGAGCTCCGTGGCGTCCAGCGTTGCATCGAGCCCACCAATCTCGAGGAGGACGATGGGGTCGTTGATAACCTCGGTCTGGATGCACTCACCGAGAAAGGAGTTGGCGGCCGCGAGCAGCGTGGTGAACAAAACGCTCAACTTCCCCACAACATTCGTAATTTGGCCAGACTCCCGCTCCCTCTCTTCTTGGTGGGAAGAGGGAATCCACAGTTCTTGAGGAACTTGGCAAGGTCAGGTTTGATGCTTTCGGTTCCCCGTGGGGTATATGCAACAACTCGCCATGCTTCACCCTCTGAATCCAGAACCTGGTGCTTGACAAGCGGATCAAACTCGACAAACTTTTCCTGAGCATCAACCAGCCTTCCCGGAAGCCAGTCTCCAGATCCGGCCTGCTTCCACACGATCTCGCCGTTCTTGTTGTCCTGGAGGTCGGCCTCTTTGATGCTACTGTCGTGCACCCACAGCTCTCCGCCCGCCTCCTGTCCAAAAGAGGCGAAGTAGTTTCTCGATCCGGCTGCGTTGTTGTAGTCGTGGTGAACTTTCACAGAGCCGCCCTTGATGACGCTGATGGCTCCCCCGGTCGCACCGTCTCCAACGTGTGCTCTGATGAAGCCATTGAGGTAACGTGCCAGGACGGTATGATTGACCACCGCTTTGGTGACGCCACTCACCCCTCCGTGCACATAGAAGCCAAAAGTCGCTTGTCCAGAGGCTCCTTGGACAACTCGCTTGCGATCGCCCTCGCTCTTCAAGGCGTCGCCGCAGCTCTCATCGAGGATTTCTTTGCAGGTGGCAAAGGAGAAGTCGCCGGAGTCATAGGCGAAAGCGATGCGGTCTTCGGCCGTGAACTCTTTGCACTCGAAGACCTCGATACTCTCCTCATCCTCGAGTGTCGTGGTAGAGGTCGATGTCTCCGTCGCTGTCGAATTGTATGTGGTCGCCACCGTCGAAGTCAATCTCGCAGATTTCATTCCGGTTCTTGTAGGCCTCCACGAACTCCTCCTCGGTAAAGAAGCAGTCGCGACCCAGCTCTGGGCAGCACTTACGGCCGCCAAACTTGCGGGTCAACAATCGCTCTTCACCATGAGGTCCTGCAGTGAGGGCTTCATTCTTATCCTCCCCATAGTCGCCACCCTCGAAGCGGCCAGAGGAGCCTTAAGGCTGTGGGTCGCCCGCGCCTTGTCCTTCAGGACTGCCAGCTTGGTCTCGGCCGCGACCTTGGGGTCGATCTCGGACTCCATCTTCTTGTCGTCCTCGATGTCGCGTCGGGTCCTCCTTCTCGTACTGGTCGTCGAAGAAGCGCTGGCCTTGTCCGCCCCTGGTCCTCGTTCGCCATCTGCTTTTGTCGGGACCACCGCCCGAACCTCACAAACTCTGGGTCGGGACTCTCCGATGTGGCCATCTCTCTGAGGACCCACTCGCCATAGCTCTTCGGGATTTCGCAGAATTGATATCCCCGAAATTTCCCGAACTTCATCAGTTCTTGATCTGGGGTGTTGAGGCTGTCCCTTATCAGGCGTAGGAGATTGCCTTTTGTCGTGCTGTTGCTGTAGTCGATGCTGAGCTCCGTCGCCTTCATGCGCAACTCGGGCAGGGTCATGTGCGAGATCTTCTTCATGCGCTCCGTGGGGTCCTTCTCCTTCTGGGCTTCCCGGGCTTCCATTATCACAGCCTTGATCTCCGTCGCACTCCAGGTGTGATGGACCAACGCCCCCAAGCGCCCGGCTTCCTCGAGGAGCTGCGTCTTGGTCATGTGGTTGATCGGGCGAAGTTTGCATGGCCCTTGCTCCATACTCGAAAGTGTGAGGAAGCGAACTAGGGGGCTGGCACTTGCTAACCCAAGTCCTTCCGACCCAATGGAACGCGAAAGCCGGCTCATAGATCTTGTCATGCTCCCATCTATCAACAACAGACTCAAGCCACCTACCAGTAGTGCAGCAAGCACCGTCTGTGATTCTGATCTCACCTGCAGTCTGCACAAGCATCTCCTTCTGAATTGTGGCACGAGTTTTCCAAGTGGATGGGTTGTGGAGGGCTTTTCGTGGAGTGACATGAACTCTTACCCAGGCATTGTCGCACTCTAACCAGAAGTCTGAGTATACTGAGCTGCTTCTCCACCACTCTATGAACTCTTCTTGCGACAACCTTTCTTGAACAAGCATTGCTTTGACTCCGGGGTCTAGCTTCTTGTCATAGAAGAAGTTATACATGTCTGGGTTCTTTACGTGACCTGAATGATGGGCAACTGCAAACGCGATGTATTCACTCTTGGGCATCAGGTCAGGCTTTCCGCCCAAAGCAGCGAGCTTGTCCGAGTATGCCTGCAGCCACTGGGTGCCAGCGACAGTCCTGGCGCAAGCCATGTCGGTGATGCCCACGAGACCCCCGCTCTCATGCTTGATGGAGAAGACCTCGGCAGGAAGGAGGTTACAGAAGCTGACCTCAGCCGCCTTGCTGTTGCCACGAGGTTGTTGTCCTTGATTATGAGGGCATTCGGGATCTTTATGCCAGTGGCCCCTTCTCCCACACCCCGAGCAAAAAGACTTTGCCTTCATCATCTTTATCTTCTCGCTTGCTTTCTCGCCCCCTTTGGGGTTAACCTGTGTCTCTCCACGATTGTCCTGGTTGCCGCCGTTGAACCCACGAGACTTCTGATGCTCTTTGTATCTCTGCTTGGCCGTCTGGTAGGTAGCGTAAGCGACCGCCACCTCCTCGGGGATGCCCTCGTCGTCTTCGTCCTGGTCGCCGTCCTCCTCGCCGGACCCGAAGGGGTCGTCGTTCTCGGTGT